ACCACACTCGCGCCGCTCAGTCGGCCTGTCGCAGTCTCCCTGGCTGACCCCTCTAGGGGCCCAGTCCTTGCGCACTCTTCCACGGTTCTACCGTGTCCTGCGGCCCCGTCGGGCCTGTTGTCGCGACTCCACCTCCCCTCGTTCTCTACAAACCTGGTGAGTGGAGCTGACCTCCAGGACGCGTGGGTCGACCAGTTCACCCCTAGAGGTCAGCGTGTGACCCTAAAAAAAACGTTCCCACGAGGGAACCTGCTCAGAATACCATGTTAGAATACTGACCGAATGAAATGACTGAATTAGCAAGCAGGTGGGTACAAGTAGGAAACCTAAAAGTGTTGTACCCTGTATGAACTACCCCACTACAGCCTAGATAGAATATAGCATATAAGTTTGACAAGAAATTCGGTCCTATGCGTTCGGAGATGTTGGTGTCGACCGGTTGGGGTGTAACATAACCGGTGTCGGCGAAGTCGAAGTAAGTTTCGGCGTTGACACTTTTGCGAGGATTTTCGTCATCCATCGGGATGGGCACGGAGCAGTATGGGAGTGGTCCTTCTTCCTCGGACGCGTTGTCCACATTTTGCTCGTCCCAGTCTGTTGGAAACCAAAGGAAGTTTAGAAATGAGAAAGAGGGCGTTGCACTAGCAAGCAGTTGAGTACATATAGCAAACCCTAGATTGGGCTGTACTCACTATTGAGTACCCCACTGCAGGCTAGACAAACATAACATTCTGACACAGTCAGCTTCGTCTGCTGCTGAAGCGAAGGCTCGGTTGCCACGGAAGCTGCCCGTGAGGTCTCGATTTGCTGCCAGGTTGTCCAGGTACGTTTGAAGTGTGAGTCGCTCGTAGAAGATGACATCACGTGCTGCTACTGTTTCCTTCGAGTGGACGTCAAAAAATTTCCATGCGTTGTAATGCATTTCGATGCCCAGGTGTAGTTCCCACTGTGCGCGTTGAGAAAATCTTCCGGCTCTTGCAGTGTGCGGGCGGTACTGTACCATGCACCCGAAAACTCGTAACATTTTTGTGTTGCCCAGTTTTCCTGTCCACAGCAGGTGCGGTGATGCGTTGTTCGGAAGTGATGATGACGAGAGCAAGTTGTGCAGCATGACAGCGTGGTCCATCGCCTCAGGCCACTGGTTATTGGGCAGTCGCATGCCATGCAACAGTTTGCGCATGGTGTTCTGGAGTTTTTTGTTCATCCGTTCTGCCACGCCTTGCTGTTGATGGGCGTAGGGAAGCGAGATGAGTCGCCTGATGCCTCGTTCTCCGAGGTACTGCTTGAACCTTTGGGACTGATATTCCCCTCCTCCGTCAGACTGGAAGCTTTTCAGCTTTGCTCCCGATTCTCAGTCTGCCACAGGTAGCCAGGCGACGAAGGCTTCGAAGGCCATGTCGCGACTTGGGAGATTAAGGTGCCAGACGTAACGGGTGGCGACGTCGATGAAAGTTATCACGTAATTATATGCTCCTTGTCCTTGTTCGTGAGTATACAGGATGTCGTTGTATACTTTCTCGAGTGGTGCATAGGTTGGCGCGCTTGGATTGTGGTGAGAGACGAACGGTTGATGGGGTAAGTCGGCTTCGGGACAGGTAAAGCATGTTCCGCGGACTCGTTGGAGTTCTTTGCCGTCGAGTAGAAGGAGTGGATCTTTGTCGAGCACTGCTGCCTTGATTGTATTGTTTAACGTGGTGTTGCTTGGATGACCCAGTCTTTCGTGCCACAGGGATTCGCTCGCACGATGTCCGGGTGAGCGTCTGTACAGGTCGGAGTTGGAGTAAAAGCCCGCGGTGAAGTTGGCGCTTCTGTGAAATTCACGTGGAGTGGGAGCTAAATGCTGCACAGGAGTCGGTGGAGTGTTGTCGATGAAGGTTGGTGCCGTCGAAGAGCTCGTGAGTGGTGTCAGAATATTTGCCTTACTTGCTTACTGCGTGACTTTGCTTGTACTGTGATCTATATATATACCTGCATGCTTGCACTTGCTAGGGTATGATCACTGTATTGTTTGTTTCTCTTTTATATATAACACTGCATGTGAACTGGCCTTGTGGCCCGTTGCTTGTGCTCGGACTGTGTGATGACTTTGTGTAGGCTATAGTGGGGTAGCCCATAAGGGGTACAACCCAATTAGGGTTAGTACTTGTACCCAACTGTTTCATAGTTCATTCATTCTCGTTCGTTAATTTGGCATGGAATCAGAGCAGGTTCCTTGGGCCCACCACCTGCTACGCTGCTAGTAACCGCCCCTAGGCCTGTCGCTCCTAGCCTACGCGGCCCGTCGACCCCTAGCCCGCGCCCGGCCCCGTTCCTAGCCCGCGCCCGGCCACGTCGGCCCTTAGCCCCGCGCCCCGCCTCGTACCTAGCCTGCGCCCAGCCCCGTACCTAGCCTCACGCCCGGCCCTGTATCGCACCTGGCCCCGTTTCGCACCCAGCCCCGTATCGCGCCAGGCTCTGTATCGCGCCCGGCCCCGTACCTAGCCTCGCGCCCGGCCTCCGTTCCGCACCCAACGCCCGGCCCCGTACCTGGCCTAGCGCCCGGCCCCGTATTGCGCCCAACGCCCGGCCCCGTTCCTAGCCCGCGCCCGGCCCCATACCTAGCCTTGCGCCCGGCCCCGTATCGCGCCCAACGCCCAGCCCCGTACCTCCCCAGCGCCTGGCCCCGTCCCTTGCCCAGCGCCCGGCCCCGTATCTAGCCCGCGCCCGGCCCTGTACTTAGCCCGCGCCTGGCCCCGTACCTGATCTCTCGCGCTCGGCCCCGTATCGCGCCCGGCCCCGTACCTGCCTAGCGCCCGGCCCCGTACCTGCCTAGCGCCCGGCCCCGTCCCTTGCCTAGCGCCCGGCCCCGTATCACGCCCAACGCCCGGCCCTGTACCTCCTCAGCGCCCGGCCCCGTACCTCCCCGTCTCCATCATGTTTGGGTCGAAGCCTGCTAATTGATTCCCGGGAGTTTCCGTTGACTCCGCAGCTGGTCTTGTTGCTGTGCCTTCTTCTGTCTGTAGGCCAGAGGCTGAAGGTGGAGTAGGGGTAGTGCCGAGAGATCCGTTAGAGGAGCTCCTCTCCTTCTGTGTTGCCATGTATTTCGTTGTCGTAGGTATTTAAGAAAATGATCTTGCCCTGTTTGCTCTGATACCATGTTGGGCTGAGAAAAGCCCTTAGGATCTTTCAAGGCTAAGATCAGTGTTGAAAGAGAGATGTTGTAATTGCGGAAGCGTTAATATAATAGTTGGTTGAACCACCTTGTACTGGTGTGTGAGAACAAGATAAGTTAATTAATAGCAGGGAAATACAAGGCTTTTATATGATTACAAAGGAATATGAAAGGTTCTACTTTTAACTGTTTTGCTGTTGCGGTTCGATACAGTGCCGACTCGGGTAACTGCTCAGTAACGAGTCAGTTATGTGTCCTTGCTATCGCACTGTAGTTTTCGTCAAGTCAAGGGTCAGCGACCTTTGACCTTCGCGTAACCTCCAGCGGTTGCTTTTGTTGACTCGTGTGTTTCTTCGCTGTAGTCTGCTCCGTTTCGTGTCGATACTTCGATACTTTAGAAGCATTTAAATTACTTGTTTCCAACACACTTAACCATCACAAATTACAAAGGCTTGAGAATTCTAACGTCAGGAATCATATGAAATTTTTAATGGGATGTGTGGGTGGGGTGGAGACTGTGGAGAGAAAGACAGATTTTGAAGGGTAATGTGTGGAGTCAAAATGAACAAATTCACTAGAATGTTTCTGGTTGTTGGGCAGACGCTTTGAAGCACAGTTTTACTGCGTGGAATCTCAATGTATCATACTCACTGCCAGCAATGTGAGGTCAGCATTGAAAAGGCTCCAACAACTAGAACAAAATTTGCATGCCAATTATCTCTCATGTTTTACTGCTGTTAGCTATTTCGGATTGCCTCATAGGCGTGCTGGTCTGGTCTGTAACGACGAAAACAATCGAGCGTAACCTGAAGCTTAGGCTAGGCTGGTTGAGGTTCAGGGCGACTGGAGACTCACCGAGCCGTGTTGTCTGGTTCGTCTGGCTCGTTTGTCCGCATCCCCAGTCACCCAGGGGAATGAAGCTTCGCTTCCGCAACTTCCCCAAGCACACACAGCGGACCGCGATCACCCTGGGCGCGACTCGGTTCAGGGAATGTGCATGGAGGGAGGAATGTGGGGGTACGGATTTGGCATTGGTCGCCCCCATTTGCACGATAAATGCGCGAGAACAAGGGTTTGCAAAACAGACCAATTCGAAGCAACTCGACTTCACAACTACTCGACATCCCAACGCCACTCCAACCACTTCGTACAACTCCTTTACCGTCCGAAGCACCTTGAACCGTTCCCAAATCCACTGCATCTCTGACGAACTCAGCTCAGCGTAGACACTACAGGCATGGCTCTCAAGAACAGATGCTCCAAGATTGAAGACATCGAATCAGGAGCAGCAACTTTCTCCGCTCCAGACGCCACGCTCCCCGCCTCCTCGTCGCCACCCAGAAACTCGCTCCCACTCTTTTGCTGCGCACCTCCGCTCGCAACGAACGCGTTTCCCGCAAGTGGCAGCGCGAATGAGGAGAATCCGGGAGAGTTCACCGCAATTTACCCTTCCGATTTGCACATCGCCAACCCTGAGGAAGTAACCAGCACTGCAGACGAAGTAGAAAAGCTTTGCAAGGACGAGAAGGATCGCGAAAGGCGTCGTCTCCGGACCTGCTGCTGCCGCGTCGCATGCTGGTCGCTCATCGTCCTCGCCGTCGTTATCGTCGGATTAGGCGTCGCAGGGCTCGTCGCATACCTGACAGTCTCGAAGCAACAGCCGGAGGTGAAGGTCGAGCAAATCAACATCATCCGCGTCGGCATCACAAAATCCGGCGGCGGGTTCCTGGGCCTCGAAAACTTCCGCCTTGGCCTATCCGCGTTAATAAACGTCACCGCGCTCGTGTATAATCCCAACAACTGGGAAGTGGAAGCGGAAAACATCAGCGTGGACGTAAAATTCTTCGACATGAATATTACAAATGTGACCGTCCCCGGCGTCGTGGGTATGAGCAAGGGTGGGAGCGCGGAGTTGACTGTCCCCCTTGATATTGTCGACGCGCCCCTGGCGACGCTGAGTCCCGCGAGCCTGCTGACGACGCCGCTGCTGCATGGGCGCGCGGAAATGCGGGTGGTGGTTGGCACTGCAGCGCGCGTGAAATACTGGGGCATCTCGTCGCCGCGCGTTATGGTGCATGTGGAATGCACGATGCAGCTGGACCCGTTTTCTGCTAAGAAGTACAACGAGCAGTGTACACCCAGCATCTCACTGTAAAGGGAGCACTAGCAGTGTAGGTTTTAGGGATACCGTAGGCGTCGCCACACTCCCTCAGTAGGCGTTTGCTTGTTTTTTCAGGGCATATTCCTGACTTTGTGTCAGTCCCTGGCACAGGGTTTCACACAAATTCGGGAATGCGCTCCCTTAGTTTTGTACTTTTTGTTGTTTGATTACTATCCATAACTAAGCTACTGTTCATACCTAGAGCTGCCCTGAAATTTCAAGCGCTTCCCACTCAACAACCAGTTCCCACTCAACAATCGCTTCCCCCTCCCACCCCGCTTCCCCTTCCCACCCCGCTTCCCCCTCCCACCCCGCTTCCCCCTCCCAACCCGCTTCCCCCTCCCAACCCGCTTCCCCCTCCCACCCCGCTTCCCCCTCCCACCCCGCTTCCCCCTCCCACCCCGCTCCCCCCTCCCACCCCGCTTCCCCCTCCCACCCCGCTTCCCCCTCCCACCCCGCTTCCCCCTCCCACCCCGCTCCCCCCTCCCACCCCGCTTCCCCCTCCCACCCCGCTTCCCCCTCCCACCCCGCTTCCCCCTCTCTCTCCCCTTACCCCCTCTCTCTCCCCTTCCCCCTCTCTCTCCCCTTCCCCCTCTCTCTCCCCTTCCCCCTCTCTCTCCCCTTCCCCCTCTCTCTCCCCTCCCCCCTCTCTCTCCCCTCCCCCCGCCCTCTCCCATTTCCCCCCCCCTGCCAGCCATCACTCGCCTCCCTGCCACCCGCCGCCCCTATTCTTCGGAAGCTTATCCTCAGCGCATGCCCATCGATTGATGGGGCCGGCGTCTTTCGGCCGTATCTTAAGGTGGGTCGGCAGCAGTTGTCTCTCGTGGCCGGCAGCAGCGAGAGTGTGTAGTGATGGGGAGGGTGTGTGCTGTGCAATGATGTGTGCACACTTGAATAGCATCATGGTGCTATGCCGTGAATATACTCTTGTCAAGCAAGCTGCTCACATGCATGCATCGCCCACCACACCCCATGTATGTATGCTATGCTGCTATGCCGTGCACGGCTAATCATTATCTGGCGGTTACCCTTGGCTGTGCCAGGTGTTTCGGAGGGGAGCACAAGTGAGCAGCAGTGTCTTGCCTGGGGAGGTGAGGCGTGGGGGAGGTGAAGCGTGGGGGAAGTGAGTTGTGGGGGAGGTGAGGCGTGGGGGAGGTGAAGAGAGGGGCAGAGCGGGCAGATGGAAAAGCAAAAAGGGTGGGTGGGAGAAAAGGGGTAGATGGGGAGACAAAGGGGTAGGTCGGGAATCAACGGGTTAGATGAAGAAGCAATGGGGCAGACGGGGAAACAAAGGGGTTGATTGGGAAACAAAGGGGTTGATTGGGAAACAACCCTGCCTTTGCCATCCTTGCCTCTCCTCTCTTCTCTATTTTTCCTTTTTAATCTCTGCTCTTACCCCAATCTCCACCCGTTACCCTCCTCTTGCCACCTACCTCCAGGTTCCTCCATCCTTCCCCACAGGGTCAGCCTGGATGGCGCCCTTTGAGGTCAACGCCCCTGTGTGGGGCGACTGGCTATGCCTCCCCCCTTTCCCCATCGCCCCATTCTCCCCTTCCCCACTCCCCACCCTTCCCACCCGCATACCTCCAGGTGCCGCCCTCCTTCCCTACTGGTTCAGCCTGGATGGTGCCCTTTGAGATCAACGCCCCTGTGTGGGGCGACTGACTGTGCCTTACCCACTTCCCCATTCCCCCGTCCCCCCTCCCCCCAACCTCCAGGTGCCGCCATCCTTCCCCACGGGGTCAGCGTGGATGGTGCCCTTCGAGGTCAACGCCCCTGTGTGGGGCGACTGTGCATTCGCCGTGCATCAGTGGACAGGTAGCATTTGGGAAGGTAGCTCGTGGGGAGGTAGCACGTGAGGAGGTAGCATGTGGGGAGGTAGCATGTGGAGAGGTAGCACATGGGGAGGTAGCACGTGGGGAGATACCACGTGGGGAGATAGCATGTGGGGAGGTAGCGTAACACGTGGGGAGGTAGGATATGGGCAGGTAGCATTTAGCCAATGCGCATCTGGACTGATAATACCTGGAGAAAAAGGCTCGGTGCTGTGACTTTGGCATGTAATACAGGACGGAATCTAGGTAGGCCGGATTTGAAGAGGTAGCATCTAGGCAGGTTAGACGTGTGCAAAGGGCATACTCCATACGGTGTATTGAGTTCTCTGCCCCATACCCTTTGTCAGAACCCCCTCACGGCTTTCACTCTCTACCCCTCTCGCCTAATCTCTGTACCTCTTGAGTACTAAGCAGCACTCTATTTTTGAGGCGCCTCAGAAATAGACGCTTCATCTTCGTACCTCCCAAATACCAGCAGCAGGGAGAAAGAGTGCAGTCTCGTGCTTGTCGTTGCATTTGAGTTGTCTCAATGATTGTTAATTCTCGCTCTCCATTCCACATCCCCCTACCCGCCAGGCAACAGCAGCAGGGACGAGAGCGAGCCCGTGTTTGTCTTCGCTTTCCACTCGGCTTTCCTACGCATCGGCCTCACTCGAATAACCCTTCACGAGGTAACGCCTTCCCCTGTACCGCCCTACTCTTCCCTTAGAGCACCGGTCTCACTTGAATAACCTTTTACGGATTAACACGTGAATAGCCCTACATGAGGTAAGGTAAGGCGTGGATTCACCTCCGCCCTTCTCCCTTGTTGTATTCTTGTTAAGTTCCTACACCCTCCTTACCAGAATGGGTTCGTACACCCTCCTCTTCCCATCTCTATCCCCTCCACCCTTCTCCCCTTTTTCTACCATCCCATCTGCTCGACTGTGCGTATGGGGGAGGCAAGTACCCGCCGATTTCCCCTCTTACTACCCAACCAGCTCAGCTCCTCCTCTACTGCTTCACTTTTCCTCCCCTCTGTTCACCCCCTTTTCTACCACCCCAGCAGCTCAGCTGTGCCTACGGGGGAGACATCCAAGTGCCTTCTTCATTGAGGAAAGGAGAGGGGGACTTCAATAATGTACTCATAGAGATACCACGCCCACCTCTCCCTTCTTCCCCCCCTGCACACCCCTTTCCCTTTCCCCTCCCCCGCTCGTCAACTCGACTGTGCCTACGGGGAGACATCCAAGTGACTGCAGACCCTAGCAAGCAGACCCTGCCTTCTCTTTCCCTTCTCCCCCTCCTCCTCCTTTCCCCGAACCAGCTTGACTGTGCATACGGGGGGGACATCCAAGTACCGGCCGATTTCTTCATCGACGTGCTGATTGATATGCCGCAGCCACGTGGCGGCGTGACATTGGCCGACGCCAACCCCGACGGCGCGCCAGCTGGCACGATGCTGACGTGGCAGCAGCTTCTGGCGGCGTACCGGGGCGACTTTGTGGAAGCTTCCAGGAAGCAGCGGATGGCTCAAGAGAGGGAAGAGACGAGGCTGGGGAGAGCTGAGGCAGAGTGGAGTGAGCGGGAGGGAGAGGAAGGAGTGAACGGGAGAGGCAGCAGCACGTTCACATCGGATCAGCAAGAGCATTTCAAACGGGAGATTTCTCAAAGTGCTCTTGCAACGGAGGCAGTAGACGGTAGGGGCAGGGTGCCTCCGTTGCAAGAGCAACAGAGGGACCGGAGGGATGCAGTGGGGGATGGGGTGGGGGATGAGAGGAGGAGCCTGGCTCGCAGCCTGGTGACAGAGGTGCAAGCCCACCCTCTCCTGCGCCACACAGGACAAGCAAGCCACCCGGGCATGCTGTGTGTGCTGTCCATGCCGCCCGGCGTGGCATCCACGCCGCCCGGAACGGCGTTCATGTCGCCTGAAGTGATGTCCTCTCGATACGAGTTCCCTCCCACTCCCACAACGCCTCACATGCCGCCCTCCCCCCACTCGCCCCTTCCCCACTCACCCCTCCCCCAACTTGCATCCCTTTCCGAAGATTTCAGCCTCTCCCATTCCTCCTCTGCTGCTCCTCTCTCCTCCGCAAGCCAGCCGTCACAGGAGCTCGACTCTCTAGCTGATCTCCTCATTCGCATGTCTCTGTCTACAGGCTCGCGCCATAGCATGGGCGGTGGGGCCTTGAAAGGGGTTGACAGGCATGGCATGGGGCCTGGGGGGAAGAGAGGCAGAGCGTGGGGAATTGGGGAGTGGATGTGAGCGCTATAGGTGGGGAGGGGAGTGTGGGGAGCACGGATGGTATGGGAGGGGATTGGGAGGGCATGGGTAGTGGGGATGCGATGGGGGGAAAGTGGGAAGGCAAGGGCATGGGTAGTGAGGATGTGAGGGTAGTGAGGGAGGTGAGAGAAGCAGGAGGAGAGTGGAGAGCAGGGGCGGGTGAAGCAAAAGGGGATCACCTGAGAGCAAGTGCCACTCTTCCGGCCGGCCACATGACAAGAGGAACAGAACCAATTGCTTCTCTACCTGAAGCGTTCTCATTATCACCCTCAACAGCAGCAGCAGCAGCAGCGGCATCAGCAGCACAAGTACCAACACTATCATCATCATCATCATCTAGAGGAGCAGCAGGAGCAGCAGCAGGAGCAGCAGCGGAGGCACATCCTCCACCTCCCTCCTCTCCCCCTCTCAAAACCACACCCGTTCAACCTACCCAAGCCCCCCCTCCTCACCCAACCCCTCCTCCGCCTCCCCCTCCCCCTCCCTCCGGCCGTCCCCCCCCTCCCCCTCCCCCTATCCGCCTAGCCTCAGGCAAGCTTGCTGCGCCTGTGATGGGGGGAAAGCAGGGAGAAGGGGAAGGGGGGAGGGTGGAGGGGGAAGGGGACCTTTTCCCCCCTGCCCGCCCCTTGCACTGGTCCAAAGTGACTAATGTGAAAGGGACAGTATGGGAGGAGATAGAAAGAGAGAGAGTGGTTGAAGAGGAGAGAGAAGAGACAGTAGGGGATGGGGAGAGCAAAAGCAATAGCTGTAGCAGTCTTGTATCGAAGGTGACACTACCAGATGACATGAGACGAGCCATCCGGGTGCTTTTTCAGGTAAAAGCAACAAAATCAGGTGGAAAGTCGAAGACAGGAGGAGGGGTGCAAGGAGAAGGGGGAGGACAGGGGGGGAGGAAGGGACTAGGGAAAGATGAGTTACAAGTGGTTGGTTTGGCTCGCGCTAACAACGTAGCCATCATGCTCACTCAATTCCGCATGCCCGAGAATCAAATCCGAGATCTGATCCTCGCAGGAGATCCTAAGCACGTGCTGCCACCTGACCGCCTGGGCCTGCTGCTTCAGGTGATTCCAACAGAGGAGGCGGCGAGGGTCAGAGCAGTCTCAGGTGCTGCTTCAGGTGCCATGTGTGCACCTGAGCGCTTCCTTTGGTCCATATCCCTGATCCCAAGAATGAGGAGGAAAATCGAGGCGCTAATGTTTGTGCGGCATTTTCACACCATAGTCAATGATGCCCGGGCAGTCATAAAAGTTTTTTGTCCTGCAGCCCGAGCGATTCGCAGCAGCAAGATTTTCCGGGCAGCGCTTGCAGCGGCGCTTGAAGTGGGGAACGAGCTCAACCGAGGCAGAGCAAGGGGTGAGTTGTGGTGAAGCACGGTGAGACGGGGTCGAGTGGGTTGGGAAGGGTTGGAGAGGGGTGGGACGGGAACCATAGGTCTAGTACGGGAAGCATTGGGGGAAGTGGCAAGGGTTGGGAACGGCAGGCAGGGAAAGGGAAAGTAGCGAAACTGGTGCAAAAAAAACCAACACTCATAAGATCCTCTTATAAAAAGCCCCACATGCGACACTCTCTCATCCCCTTCTCACCCTTCCCCCCCTCCTCCATCCCCCCTGATTTCCAGGTTCAGCCCGCGGGTTCTCTCTGGATTCCCTCGCCCGCCTGTCAGAGGTGCAAGTCACTCCTCCATCCCACCGTGCCAAGGGCCTCGACACACTGTTAACCGCCTCCCAGGTGGCTTCTGAGTCGACGCAGAAGTCAAACTCCTCCCAGATTCTGCCTCCTGGCTCTCGATTCTCGCGCACACAGTCCTTCCCTGTCACTCGTGCCAATGCCCCCTCATCCACCTCCTCCTCCTCGTCCTCGTCCTCCCCATCCCCTTCCCCGTTTTCCTCCTCTTCCTCCTCCTCTGCTCGTCCCTCCTCCCCGTTCCCCACATCCTCAACCCTCGCTGCCACCACACCTGCAGCCTCCCCTTTCCCTTCCCACCCTTCCCACCCTTCTCATCCCTCGCCCCTGATCGCCGGTGCAACAACGCTCCTCGACGTGGTGGTGATTATAACGAGGGGAAGCGACTCAACCAGCGCAGAGGGGGGAGAGGAGGGAGCAGGGGAAGTGGGGAGCAGCCTTGTGGGCAGTGCAGTCAGAAACAAGGGAGGAGAGGGGGGAGCAGGGAGGCGAGGGAAGCTGACAGTAGAGCTGGCAGCAGTGGGGGAGGCTGTTAGGATGTTCCAGGCTGAGGTGGCGGATGCCACGTCAGCACTGGACACTGGCCTGCGATTGGTGGATGAGGAGGTGCGGCTTCTGCAGCAGGAGAGAGAAGAGGCGAGGCTGGAGGAGGGGGAGGCAGATCAGGAGGAGGAGGAGGAGGAAGAAGAGCGGAAGGAGAGGGAGGAGGGACAGGGGAAGGGGCACGATAGCAAGGGTGAGGTGGAGAGGCAGCGGAAGGGGAAGAGGGTAGGGGAGGGCGGGCTGATGACTGTGCTAGCAGAGTTCAGATTGAGTGCAAGGAAGGAGAGGGAGGAGCTGGCCACGGATGCTGAGGAGTGCAGGTGAGCACAATGCGCTGCTGTGGGAGTTTCATATGGCTGTTAGGAGTGTAGTATTCACTGTATAAATTGTTGTCATCCGTAGTAGTGTAGCATACCTACATACATCCAATTCGCAACATCCGTGTGTCAACGTCTTGGTGAACTTGGTGTGCGCATGGGCATTCTCTCTGTCCTATCTTTTCTCCCATCAGGTCAACACTTCGACAGCTGGCATGCTACCTTGGGGAGTCAAAACCCCAACCGTCGACATCAGATGTAATACCCCTCCCTCGTTAAATTGTTCACCAACCTTCAACCCACAACCATTCCTTCAAAAAAATTTGGTTGGCACTCTTTCCTTGACATCCCGACATTGAAGTTATGTTTGACATTTGCCACGGGGAGTTTTCCTGTGCAGGCGCTGTTTGCATCGCTGTGGTCGTTTGCCACTCTCTTTGATCGAGCACAAGCGGCGCTTCACATGTGACACATTCACAACCTTACCTTTGGCGACTCACTTAACCGTGACTGCTGACGGCAACATGTTGGCCCTCACACGAGGAATAGATTAGAGTTCTGATCAGTGGTATGGTGGAAAGCATTCAGGCGTCATATAGAGTCGACATACTTGGGCTGAACTGCTGAGGCATTTTTTGGGTTGCACGGCTAAGCATCTTAAGTTTCTTCTGTCAGTATTAGTATGAGTTCAAGGCTAAACAACAGCTCAAGAACAAGCTGAAGAGCCAGGTGTTGAATATTGATTGTTTACTCTGTTAGGGTTGTACGTGTTTCAGTCCAGGCGTTTGTAGCTTCCGAACATCTCGTGACGAATATCGTCTTGGTCTGGGGTTATAACGAGCCCAGACGAACCTAATCTGAACCCTAGGCTAGGCTGGTTGAAGGGCTGGGCTATTGGGGGCTCACCGAGCCGTGCTGCCTGGTTTGTCTGGCTTGTTTGTCCGCATCCCCAATCACCGAGGGGGACGAAGCTTCGGTTCCTAGCCAAACTGTGGACAGCGAACCGCTATAACCCTGGGCGCGACTCGATTCACCCACGAGGGAGTCAGAATAATGCCAGCCAGGGCAGGGCCACGGAACTTGGACTTTTGTCGCCCCCATTTGCACGATAAATGCGCAAGAGCAACGGCATTGCAAACAGACCAATTCGAAGCAACTCCAATTCCAATTCGGCCACCCAACTCGGCTCAACAATCTCACTTCAACCATCCCCAACCTCACAAGACGTCAAGCAATGGCTATCGTCAATGATTGTTCACGAAATTCGAAGTCGACGCAACAGATCGCATCGGACGGGGACATTGAATCGGGAAACTCCGCCTTCTCAGCTCCAGACGCCTCGCTTCCCGTTTCCTCATCCCCTCCTCAAAAGCCGCTTCCCTTATTTTGCTGCGCGCCTGCGCTTGCGAGGAACGCAGTTTCTGCAAGTGACAGCGCCGATGAGGAAAATCCAGGAGAGTTCACCGCGGTCTACCCTTCCGACTTGCACATCGTCCACCCTATTAAAGAAGTAACCAGCACTGCAGACGAAGTAGAAAAGCTTTGCAAGGACGAGAAGGATTGCGAAAGGCGTAGTCTCCGGACCTGCTGCTGCCGCGTCGCATGCTGGTCGCTCATCGTCCTCGCCGCCGTTATCGTCGGATTAAGCGTCGCAGGGCTCGTCGCATACTTGACAGTCTCGAAGCAATAGCCGGAGGTGAAGGTCGAGCAAATCAACATCATCCGCGTCGGCATCACAAAATCCGGCGGCGGGTTCCTGGGCCTCGAAAACTTCTGCCTTGGCCTATCCGCGTTAATAAACGTCACCGCGCTCGTGTATAATCCCAACAACTGGGAAGTGGAAGCGGAAAACACCAGCGTGGACGTAAAATTCTTCGACATGAATATTACAAATAAGACCGTCCCCGGCGTTGTGGGTATGAGCAAGGGTGGGAGCACGGAGTTGACTGTCCCCCATTGACATTATCGACGCGCCCCTGGCGACGCTGAGTCCCGCGAGCCTGCTGACGACGCCGCTGCTGCATGGGCGCGCGGAAATGCGGGTGGTGGTTGGCACTGCAGCGCGCGTGAAATACTGGGGCATCTCGTCGCCGTGCGTTATGGTGCATGTGGAATGCACGATGCAGCTGGACCCGTTTTCCGCTAAGAAGTACAACGAGCAGTGTACACCCAGCATCCCACTGTAAAGGGAGCACTAGCAGTGTAGGTTTTAGGGATACCGTAGGCGTCGCCACACTCCCTCAGTAGGCGTTTGCTTGTTTTTTCAGGGCATATTCTTGACTTTGTGTCAGTCCCTGGCACAGGGTTTCACACAAATTCGGGAATGCGCTCCCTTTGTTTTGTACCTTTTGTTGTTTGATTACTATCCATAACTAAGCTACTGTTCATACCTAGAGCTGCCCTGAAATTTCAAGCGCAACCTCAACCCTCACCGCCACCACTCCCGCAGCCTCCCCTTTCCCTTCCCATCCTAAGCCCCTGATCGTCCGTGCGACAACCGCCGTTGGGGCATTTCTTCTAGGCCCGATGGAGGAGAGGAGGGGGCAGAGAAAGACAAAAGTAGCCGTTTAGGCAATTCAGCGGGAAAAGAGGGAAGCTGCGGTTGCAATCAGAAACGGAAGAGGGAAGGGAATTGGCGTTTTGGGCAGGGAGGAGAGGAGGGAGCAAGGGGTGGAGGGAAACCGTCTATTGGGCAGGGAAGAGAGGAGGGAGAAGAGGAGAGGCTCCAGGAGAGGGAGGAGGACGAGGAGAAATACCAGGAGGGGGAAAGGGAGGAGGGACAGGTGGGTGGGACAGGGGGAGGGACAGGGGAGGGGCATGATAGCAAGGGTGAGGTGGAGAGGCAGTGGAAAGGGAAGGGGAAGGAGGAACTGGCCAATGATGCTGAAGAGTGCTGGTGAGCACGATGGTGTAACGTGCATCCATATTTCTAGCATCAGTGCATCAAATTTTTGTTGAATTAGGTATGTGCCTTAGCACTCCGATCGTCTGCCATTGTTTATTATGTCAACGCTTTTACAGCTGGTATGCTACCTTGGACAGTTGAAACCCCAACCCTCAACAACAGATGTAAGACCCCTCTCATTCAACCGCCCACCGACCTTCATACCACAAATATCCTTTTATACGTTACACTACACATTTTCCTTGATTTCCTCACAGTCAATTTTCCTTGACATTCGATGTTGCCTATTACCTGTGCAAGTACTCCTTGCATCGTTGTGGTCGTTCACCTCACCACGCTCTTTAATCGAGCATATGGTACCAAGGACATATTTTTCTTGTTGGAAACATTTAGTTTGCGCTGATGAAGTATCGAGCACTATAACAAAAGGAGAAGTATACTCACAGCGAAGCAACGCCGAGTCAACCAAAGCGGTTAACTAAACGGCAACAGCAGGAGGTTGAAGCGAAGGTCAAAGGTCAGCGACCTTTGACTTGAAAAAGGCAGCGCGATAGCAATGATAAATAATTGACTCGTTATTGAGCAGTTATCCGAGAAGTCGCTGTATCGAACCGCAACAGCAGTTACAGTTAAACCTTTCTTATTCCTTGTAATCATATATATGTCCTTGTATCTCTTTGCCATAATCAATTCATCTTGTTCTCATATACTAGTACTGTCAGAATACTGAAGAGAATGAATGAACTATGAAAGAGTTGGGTATAAGTACTAACCCTAATTGGGTTGTACCCCTTATGGGCTACCCCATTATAGCCTACACAAAGTAAGCACTATAACATTCTGACACACCCCCATAGGCAAAGTGGGGGAGAACAAGTTGTCACAAGACCAGTCAAGAAAAGCAAAGCAAGCTCGGGGTGGATCACGAAGTCACCACACAGTCCGAGCACAAGCAAATGGCCACAAGGCCAGTTCACATGGAGAGTTATATAAAAGAGAACAAACAGTACAGTGATAATACCCTAGCAAGTGTAAGCATGCAGGTATATATATAGATCAAAGTATAAGCAAGTTCACGGAGTGAGCAAGTGAGGCAAACTAGGCACAAGACATAAAACAGTACAGAAAAGCTAATGATCACCAGACTGAAGTGCCTTGGTGAATATATCAGCAGTGTTGGCCCGAGTGGCCACGTAAGCAAGACGAAGCTGACCATGCTGTTGCAGCTCTCGAGCAAGGAAGTAACGCAGAGCGATCAGCTTCGTTCTGTGCTACAGTCTGTGCTCCTGATACATGGCAATCATGGTCTTTTTGTCTACGTACAAAACTGGAGAAGAACGAGGCCGCTCTCCCAAGTCGATCAGCAGGTAGGTGAGCCAGCATAACTCCTGTGCAGCCATGGCCCCTGCGTAGATCTCAGCCTCACAACTAGAACTAAGAATAGAAGACGAGCGGGTAGACCGCCAAGAAACAGAGTCAGAGCCAAGGCTGAAAGTGTAACCCTGTGACGACCGTTGCATAGCCAAGTCGTCAACCTAAGAAGCGTCTGCGTGTCCAGTGAGGTCAACTGGACCCGTCCTCCAAGCACGAGCCCCATGCCTGATGTACTGCACAAGTAGCGCAACACCCTCTTAGCAGCCTCCCAGTGCTCTGGTCGGTGTCTCCCGGGCGCAACGTAGCGTGTCAGGATGCTAAGAGGGTAGGCAAGGTCAGGTCGAGTGCAGGTCATCAGGTACATGAGGCAACCCACAAGCTCTGGATACGGAGCACTCGACTCTACGGACTGGTCCGAAGGTGGAGCTTAGAGCGAGTGACCGGTAGGTAGAGGAGTGAACTGTGGCGAGGAGTACCGGAAGCTGAAGCCCTGAAGGACCAGGTGCACCATGTGTGACTGAGTCAGGGTGATGGTGCGCCGTGCTCTGTCCTGGGTGATCTGCAAGCCAAGATAGCTGCGCAGCTCACCCAGGTCAGTGCAACTGTATCTCTTCTACAGCTCCGACTTCACAAGGGCCAGTGCCTCAGTGTCAGCGGTGGCAAATACGAAGTCGTCAACGAACGGTGGCAGCAAAGTGTCAGTGCGCAGAAACAGCGACTGGTCAGCAGTCGAAGGAGCAAACCCAAGATCCGCAAGCGTCGTCCTCAGTGTGTCATGCCACTCGCAAGGCACCTGGCGGAGACCGTAGACTGGCCACCGGAGGCTCCATCGGGTACCTGCAGAAAACGACCCTGTGAAGCCAGGTGGGCGGCGCAGCCAGATCTCCTCGTGCCGGCTGCCCTGTAAGAAAGCTGTGCTGAAGTCAAGAGAGTGCAGCTCGTAGTCTTGCTGAGCGGCGACGTGCAGCAGCACCTGAAGAGTGGTCATCTTCAGGGTAGGGAAGAAGGTCTGGAAGAAGTCAACTCCCTGTCGGTGACTAAAGCCTCGTGCAACGTAACGAGCCTTGAAGACAGGCGGAGAACCCAGCAGCCGTTTCACCCTGAAAATCCACATGTCATCGACTATGTTCGCCCCAGAAGGGGGAACTGCATCGATGTAGGTGCTTGTGGACTTCCTGGATGCCATCTCT